ATGGCCTCCAACTAGCAACGACCTCTAGCCTAATAGCAATGGCCTCCAGCCTACTAGCAATGGCCTCCAACCTAAGAGCGATGACTGAGATGCAAAGGCGCAAGGCCGAAAGGCGCCTGTCCAGGGGCTTCGATCAAAGTCACCTCAGGGAAAGGGTTGCAGAAACGAAAAAAGAGAAGAGGCTGTTTTTTTGCCCGCTCCTACTTAATTAAGCAAACGCCTACTCAATGAAGTGAGGAGGTAAGCTACTAGGCTGCTTCTAGTAACTGGATGCAGGATAGCTGCTACGTTTCTTCAAGGAAGAATACCCCCACCGGAGGAAGCTTCTTGAAGAAGCGCTCGCACTAATGATTTTGTTCCTAGATTTTGAGGGAAACGCAAACACTCAAGTCAGCTTGGGAAAGATGCCTGAGTACCAATCGTGGCCAAGGCCTCCAAGCTTGTCATGTTTGAGGAGAACAAACCGTGAATTGTCGTTTCCTTACTTGCCAACCTTCCAAGACTTGCAGATTATTGCTATGAGTTCTCCTCTCTTGTCAACTCGAGAAAAGAGCTGGGCATCTCTGTTTTGGTGCCGCCTGGAAGATCGTCATGAAAGCGAGTGGGACGGTGGTAGAAGTCCTTGATTCGACAGCACAGAAAATCCTGGGAGTAGAAAGAAGATTATTATTAAAGGAAAGAAACGACAGAAAAAAAAAGAAAGACCCCCCCAAAGTTAAGGTCCCAAAAAGAATACAAAAATGCCTGCTTCTCTTAACTGTTCATTCCATTCGAACAACTAAGCTGCCGCACGCCAAAGCGACGCCTGTGCTCCAAGTCCTGAGCAAGGCGCTCCTGGAAAGAATCAGTGAATTTCAAGATTTCTCGAAAGAAAAACCAGAAAAAAAGAAAGGACGGAATGAAAGTAGCAAATCGGCAAATCCATTGGATTCTTTTTGGAAAAGAATTGCGCTTTCAGAAGCAGTTTGGCCTGTATCCTGCCGGTATCCTTGATACTATCTGTCGCTTGTTTCCCATGCTCCTTCCAGTAAAAGCTATCGAGACTGTAGCTGTCCTTGTGGGCTGTCCGATGTGTCAAACCTTCTTCAGGAGTGGTCAATGCGCCCTAAAGGTTCAATGAAACCAACGATGGCAGAATGAACTAAATAGGACCAACTAAGGAAATCTCTGGTGACACAATGTTTTTGGTTGGTTGGTTGTTTGATGAAAGTAATTAATTAAACAATATTTAACATCATGTTTTCACCCCGATGTGTCATAGAATGCCTTCCTCATCTTAATGTCCCGTGTAATTCGATACTTCTGCCCTGAAACCCAAACTATTTGCTGTGCCTTTGTTGCGCTCGAAGTGATGGTCCAAGATCCAAACTGACATCTAAAACCCTGGAGGCTTCTAAGAACAAACACTTCAGTGGATAGTACTTACAGTAAACCTTAGAAAAGCACATCCTGAAGTGTCAACACTTAGACTCAAAGCCCCATGACCACTTTGAACACATCATCACCATCTTTGTTTTAGTTTTCAATGGGAAGTATGTGACATGTCTTTCTGAAATATCGATGCAAACCAATCCATAGCGCAATGTTCTTCTAGTTTCAGAGCCCCACGTCTCTCAACAAGCTGCTGACATACATTAAGTCAATTCAATTTTTGAAAACGAATCAGCGCATAAATTGTGGTTCTTGTAGGTTCCTCTTTGACTTCTTTTATTGTGCCCAGCGAAACCATATCCAAAGTTATGCCTACAGTACATCGACTTTCCTAGCCTTTTCAAGCAAGTCTTTCACTGAACCGAAGCCCTCCTCCACATCATAGCGTTTTTTTGTAATGCGTTTGCTTTAATGTAGTCATTAAACATTCTTAGATTACACGTTTACGTTTACGATGTCTGTGTTATTTTTTATCATGAAATCATAGTGAAGTTACACCAAAAAGTGTTGACGCCAAAAGGTTCTGGCACTTGAGTGTGTTCTTGTGTTTTGCCAAGTTGGATTTACAACTTACATCGGAACCGCAAATATCACATACACAACGTTGTTTCGTCTTCCCTCGGTAATATGTGTTGAAATAGGTTGGGTCAATCGGCTGTCTGTTGTAGCATAAGCTGCTTATATAACTGACAAATTTTTTTCCATCACCTTTTTCAGACGAAGAAAACGGTTCGCAGTCTAAAAGTTTTTTGTTCCAAAATGGTTCCAAACAAGGTCAAAGCGTTCACCAGTCATTGGCGCTTCAACTCCAATGCTGAAAAAGGCAACAAGGCCTACTGCGTATATATTTGATCTTATGCCTTGATATTTCTTATGCCTTGCGTATGTACTTGAATCCTGAATCAGAATAACGCAATACCAAACACAGTTTGAACATCCAAGCATGTTTACCAACACGGCGTCTTGATTCCAGCAAACCAATTGCATCTGCACACCACGCGCGTGATTTTTTTCTCTGGCCATTGTGTGTCCACCTTCCCAAGCTTAAAACAGATCCATAATTGGATGTCAGCAAAATTCATTGGTGTCCTCTCACGTTAAAAGCAAAATAGAAAACTATACTTCTGTTTTTTTGACTACAAAAAACCATTCGTAGAAAGTTATACCTCTTTTTTGAAACATTGTTTGTTTGGAAACATCAAAATCCTGAACGTTGTGCGGCGGAATGGTCCAACCAGTTTCCTCAGTTTCATCTTTTTTGCCACTTAACTCAATGTTCTGCATCTTAAGATAGTGTTGCTTTCCAAAAAGCCACAGTCATTTATAAAAATAAACAAATAACCCGAAACCCCCTTTATGTATCTTTACTGATTGTTTGGTGTTGTTACCGATGCGGAGGCGGCCGGGGGCGGTGCGAAAGCCCGAAAAATCGAAAAGTCGAAGTGTGCTTTGGGTGCATGTGGGCCGCGAAAAAACGAAAACACAGAAAATCCAAAAATACCTTCCGGCGCCATGCGCGCCAGTGACGCGCGACAAGGCGAACATTCGAAAATGTGAAAAGTCGAAAAATCGTCTCCTGGTGCGATGTTCACACAAGACGCAGGAAAAACCGGAAAAAACTCAAAATTCGAAAAGTGTATCCGGGACCGTGCGGCGCGCGTGGCGCGCGAAAATTGGACAACCTGAAAGCCCGAAAAATCGAAACAACGCTGTCTGGGCAGTGTTTCCGCAGGTGATGCACAAAATGCGAATGCTCCAAGGTTTATAGACTCCGTATCCGCATATGACGGGCGAGAACCGGAAGCAAAACACACTTGATTTTTGCACTTGTTTTTCGCCGTCTCTTGCTCTAGATCCTGGAAGGCATCTTCAAAGATTGCTTTGGGTCAGAGTCATAGACGTACATGCGAATAGCAATGCAGTAGACATAAAGAGCTTCAGCAGGCGTGAAGCAAAAGGAAACACACTCTTGCATGAAAGGATTGGTTTTCTCTGTCGGAACGATAACATTATTCAAGAAATTGTTGATGCGCTGTTTGTCTTTCAAATATGGAGAACCCCTCCACCGGGACATGTTTCGTGGAAACCAAATCGGCCACTGCGCCTCTCGTTCGGGAGGCCCAAAATGCCATGAGCGGAAGTGAGACACAAGGCGTGATTACGTGCATTCGTGCCCTTTTTGGGAAGGGTCACTGTCTCTCTGTATTCTTGTCAGCATCGGAGGCCAGAAGTCCAAAACGACTCACCACCACCACTGTGCCGGAGGCCCAAAGTGCCATGGGCGGAATGAGACGCAAGGCGTGAGTACGTGCATTTGCGCCTTATAATATGTCAACGGTCATTGCCTCTGTACTCTTCTAGAAATCGGAGACTAGAAGTCCGAAACGACTCACTGCCACCGAGAGGCCAAAAGCGCCGTTGGCGGAAGAAACACGAGGCCTGGTGACATCTGTGCGTGTGGCAACGGTCCGACAGGCACACCCGACTTATTGCACGCTCGGCCACTGCCTTCACAAATGCTGGGGACCACACAACTTCCTGACAAGGTGCAGCAAGGTTTGCACACGCATCCGTGGACGCGCAAATCCGGAAACAAAAAACATGACTTCTTAAAAATCAACCAGCTCCTTCACTGTTGGCGTCGTCTGGGGCAATTGCTTGGCTTTTGCCTCCACGTGCGCGAAGCCGCGGTCAATGCACCTGACCCTGCCGTCGGGCGGGAGCGGCTGCAGGCTGCGACGGCGCTGGCGCGGGCTGCGCAGGCGGCCCTGCGGGCGCTTGTCTGCACACGATGTTGGAGTTTGTAGACGCCCCCCAGAACCGCCGTCAATGCTTCGCTTGCCTTTTTTGGGATAGAAGCTTTCCTCAAACAGCCGCTCACGCACGGCCTCGCCATCAAAAGTCTGTACACCCAGGCGGGCGCGGCCGTTGCTACGTGAGCCCATCTGCTTAACATACAGGTTTGCTGCTGGCAGCCGAGCCAAACAGGCACGCGCTGACACACACGATCAAATCTTCCTCTTGTAAGTATTGAATCTTGGAAGCGCAAATCACTATCTCGAGCTCCCCATTCATGATCTGAATCTGGCCTCTTGTTTGGGGCAGCTTCTTCAAAATGCCATGGACAGCAATGCGCCCTGGCCTCCACACGAATGTGGCAGAAGGTGCGTGGGCTGATTGCGGGACAGCCAAGAGAGCACAATGGACTTCAAGTTGTTTTCGCTGTCTGCACTTGCACCAATCGAGACCTGGGACAACCTCGACCCAACGACATTCCAATCACTATGTGTGCCGGGCACAGTAGTGACTTTGACCGCGTTGCTCTTCTGGCCAAAACCCAAAGACGGCCTGCGATTGAAAGAAAAGCGGCGTGAACTATGCGCCCATCCGGTGGACACCCACCACCCTGCGCCACGCGGCGGCATGCTTCAGCCACCTCAAGTGGAGCTACAGCTTGCAAGGGGGTCTTTCTTTGAGCTGCCACAGGGTTGAGGGGCATGTCTTTGTTCAAGGTGTCCGTGTAGAAGGGTTCGATCAGAGCAGCGAAGTGATCCTTCAAGGTCACGTCTTTCGGCATCTTGTGAAGATTGTATCCTGAGCCCACAGCATCCTCCTCGTAGACGCGCCTTGACCACCTGGCAGGGCGCAGGGTCATATAGAAGGTCGCTCATTTATTTTTATAGATTCTTTTAAGCAATGTCTTAATGTATGGAATAAGGGTCTGCTGAAGAAAGCCTCTCTTTCTTCCAGGCTGGCGCCTTGCAAACGGGCCATGAAAGTTTCCTTGGTGCGCAGGTCTTCGCACTGAGAAGAAGCGTTCAAAGCCCTGATAGCGATCTCTTGCAAGCGCTGTTGCGTACTCGGTCAGTTTGTGCCTGGCTGCGTTCCTTCATGTCGGACCAATCTCGAGCAGCGCGGGCTTCAATGGCATCTAGCACATCCTCTGTCACCCGCGCAGGAGAGTCCTGCGTAGGCCTAGGCTGGAGCAGGGGCCGAGGGGATGGAGAGGCCGCGTCCTCCTGTCTTCCAGCATCCGCTCTGAAAAAGCCAAATCAGCTAGGCAAGCAAGGGTTGAACGTGCTCAAAAAACTTGAGAGGAGGGAGACACGAAAGGTAGGACAGCGGGAAGAGAAGAGAACGCGAGAGGCAGGAACAAAAATGCAATGTTCGACATGGTGATTTATCCCCTCGGAGGCGACCTTTCGTAAATATATGTTCATATGCACTCTAAATGTTCAAACATATGCTCTCGAAATGTTCAAAAAGATTCTTAGGAAAACAAACTTGCCCCATGGCTCAGATCATCGGTGAGCATTGAATCGGAACATCATAGGATTTGAACTATCCTGAAACCATAAGAGGCTCACGAAGACGCTCCCCAGGAGAGAATTGACGCGCTTCACAAAACAAACTCTAGGATACTCTAGGTATGTACCCCCTCGGGGAACACCTTTCGCGATTAGAATTTCATATTCACTCTTTCTGAATGTTCAAGAGGGTTTCAACTATCCTGAAATCATGAGAGGCTCACGAAGACGTTCTCCAGGAGAGAATTGATTTTAGAGGGGGGGAGGGGGGGGGGGTCTGAATTGAGCGATCAATTATTAGACCCGGACGTCCCAACACTTGCTTCGCAAGACAAACTCAAGGTATCCCCTAAAGGGCTACCTTTCGTGACAAAGCAAAACACAAAAAGCGAGCCGTCTACCATGATTCTGTTTTTGGCGCGCACAAGCAGCAAGCAAGTGGCAATTGCCGTTGTCTAGTCTACAGAATCCCCGACCGAAAACCCATATATACAGGCGGCCGATAGACTGTTCTGTAAAGGGCATATCGCCTCTGTCCGCCGGGCAGCTTGCCGACGGCGTTTGGAACGGAGATCCTCCTGGGAGGATCTCCTGGTCTCGACGCCCGGGCTCGTGGCCGTCCGTCCATCGAACTCGGGACGGTCATCGTTTGGACAATGTCGAGAGTCCCGGTCAGCTGGTCCTCTCAAAGGCTTGCGCCTAGCAAGTGATGATCAAGCGCGTCTTGGCACTACCAAAGCCTGCAGTGGTATGTTGATAGCGATGGCCAGCAACAAGAAGCGTTTTTGTTGATCTTCTTCAGAATACAAAGCTTTCTGAGGAACCAACACCAACACACTCAAGCTGGTTAAGGTCAAATTATTGAGGCTATTGGCATCAAGTGTCTGTGGATACAGCAAAACTGTCACTACCAGAGCAAACACCCAAAAACTCCAAACGCTAAGGATATTTCTTATTCATTTCTGGCAGTCGTCAACCCTGGTCAAGTTTGAAGAGATCAAGTTCAATCTTCTAAGATTACGTCAGCCTGAGCATCTCCAAGTGGACCATCTTTGGATAGGTTTTGTGAGTGCCAGCAATTCAAGCTCTTGCTAAAGCAATAACAAATCCAACTAGCTAGCCAGCTGGCCTTGAAAGGTTTAACTGGCCTTGAACGTACCACCATGCACTTGTGCTCCAAGTTGCTGCAATGATGCGCCAGTCTGACTCGTCAAGCGCGGAATGACTGAGGCCAACTGCGACAGCGACCTGAGCTCGCACGAACCGTCGAGAGTCACACGGTACATCCCATGGTCAGTGCATTCCAATCTGGGCCAAATGAAGGGTCTTTAAAAACGGGAGAATGATCAAAAACCCTGTAGCAAACAGTGTTTGAGAAAAAACAGCTTGTCCCAGCTCACCGACCCCCACACTCGTGAACACCCAGGCACGCGTCGATCTTGCCAGCTTCCATCCGTTGGTCTCTGGGCGATCGCAGCCTCATCAGTCACTGTGCCTGTGAGCCAGCCTGCGCCCCGCAACTGAACATCCAGAAACCGAAGAGAACCCATCATCTCTGAAACCAAAAAAGCATTACTGGACATTGCAGACCTGCCAAGGTTCAGGACCTGTAGTTCTTTTCAATCAGTGGGTGTGTGATTGTTAGTATCATCGAAAGGGATCAAGTTCCGGTCGCCTGCCTTAACCGCAGATCTCCAACAAAAATGATGCGGACGTTGAATCGCCGCTCGAGGGAACGTAATCAGGCACACCGTCACGCATGCTCGAACGAAACCCGAGTCAACCGATACGAATCAACTAATACGGGAAAGCAGGTCCGCGCCCACCGCTGGCACTTCCTCAACGGGTCAGACTGCCTTGCCCAAAAAAAGAGGTGAGAAACATTTGCGAAAATGACCGAAACATGACTTATATGCCTTATATCACTCCAATCTGTCAGACGGTCTCCAACCACTTCTGAGTTTCACGAAGTGACCAATGCTCCTAGTAGTCAACTTTTCAGTCGCGTGATTTTTCGATCGCCGATCCCTGGTGAAGAACGCGCTTTCCTTATTGAGAGCCAGACCCGAAGGTATTGGTAGTGACCGTCTTGGACCTGTTCCAAAGCATCCAAAATCATCCGACGAAGATCGATCCATTCGGGGGACGTTTATTGGACAAATCACTTACTTCGTCATACTTCCTATTCTTTCTAGTGAATCTAGTCAGGCTAGAAGTTTTTGATCGGGGTGCGTTGGCTCTTGCACAGCCTCCCCGTCAAAGGTGTGGACACCATGGCGGCCACGCGGCAAAGGATAAAATGAGGAGGGCACCGTGCCACCATCTTTCAACGCCATCCTGCTCGGCGTTTTTGAAGAACTATGAAGGACATTCACCGAGAATTTCCTTGCATACTTGCGCTCTGTCCTCTAGTCTAGAAATGTTTGAATGCACCCAACCAGCAGCAATCTTACCTTAACGTATGGGCCAACGGGTGGCAAGCTATGGACAGCCCAGTGTGTGAATAATCTTCCGCATTTCATTCCGGAAACGTGGCCCGTGGAAAAGATTGTCTTGGGCCACAGCAATGCAGTTCGCAAATGGATTGCACGCGCTCGCCCGTTGCGCCCAAAACAATGACCATATTCAGTGGTGACACTCTCTGGGACAATCAATCATGGGCCGTGCCATGGATGGCCAGCAGCCCCGAGAACTCGAAAAAACATGTTCCCAGCCAACAGATGGCTTTCACTCTATGTAACTATGATGTAACCTGAAATGCCTCTTCATATGGGGGATTTGTTAACCAAAGTCCTGTGTATTTCTGAACATATAACTATAACTGAAATGATCCTTCCAGCCTGTAGTGACCTCAATGTCCGTACACAAAAAAGGTGCTAGTCCCGACCATCACCCTGTACATCTATTGTCGTATTATACTCTATAGTAGGCTACGTGCGTCGAAGAAGACACATCTTCTCGCAGTCTGATGAGCTGCAGGCTGGATCGGGTCACATCTGCGTGTACAAGTCATGCCATGTTGAGATATCTTTCCTAGCCTCTTTCCCATGCTTCTGAAGCACAACACTTCTTTTGACCTGCCTCACATCGCGATACCCCGTGATTTCAGACCCAGAAACGCGCACAAACCATTCCGTCAACATCTCACAGGCCACCGCCTGTTCTCGCATACATTTTCATTTTCGTCTTGCATCGTGGCAACCTCAATGACTCGCGCTGCTACTCCTGACTTAAAAGTGTTACTCCTAACTCGCATAATTACGCGCGAAAACTTGAAAAAATAGAAAAAAATCTAACATTTGAACGTTCATTTCCGTGCGTATTGCCCCACAAGCCACGCGAAAAACCGAAAATATAAAAATCGAAAATTGAAAGTTTTTTTTTGCGTGCTTATTGCCCCACAAGCCACGCGAAAACCCGAAAAATTGAAAACTCAAAAAATTGAAAGTTTTTTTGCATGCTTATTGCCCCACAAGCCACGCGAAAACCCGAAAAATTGAAAACTCAAAAATTTGAAAGTTCTTTTGCGTGCTTATTGCCCCACGCGAAAACACGGGCCACGCGAAACCTCAAAAATTGAAAACCTGTTTCCGTGCTTATCCCCCCCGAAACCACGCGAAAAACTCGAAAAATCGAAAACCCGACAACTCGAAAAGTTATGGGTTGTAAAGATAATGCACATTTTGAATTTTTGAATCATTGAAATGTTGGACGATTTTGTTCTGTTGGTTCGAGCAAATTCGAGCAAGTAGTTTTTGAATTGATTTTTTGGGTTGTCCGATTTGCATTTGTCTCTGTGGGGGTTGACGTTTTTTTACTTGTTGAATTCCGTTCTATTTTTTCGAGTTTGGAAATGTCGCGTAAAACGATTGCTTAGTATCTTTATGCTCTTCGTTTGTTTACGCATTTGATTGTTTGATGCTAGTTCTTCATGGTCGGCAACAAACAAGATCCATGTATCTTCAAACAGAGACTGAGCGACAGCAAAGTTGAATAAAATTGAGCAACTCTGCTTTCCAAAGCACGTAGGCATCACCAAAGCTGTCATAGCCGCCATAGTGTAAACCATCTGGAAGCAAACAGGCTCAAAACAGGCTCAACAAACAGATTCCAAATCAGCCATATTCCCCACAGAAGCAAATAACAGTCACTGCACAGCTGCGCCTAGTGAACCAAGCTTCGGACGGCCCTGGTGAGCGGACAAAGAGGTATGACAACATGACGCACGCAAGCAAAGGGCATCGCTACCAGGAGCAAGGACGCTATTAGGGTGGAGGCCATCGCAAGTAAGAACAAGAGGACACTACTAGTAACAAAGGGCATCGCTACTAGGAGCAAGAAGCTACTAGGAGCTCCTGGCCTTACTACTAGTAGCTATCACTCGCAGCGGACGATCACCGTGAAACGGTGTCCGCTTTGTGCTGGACACGCTGGTCTATGCACACAAGAAATCCCCACAAAAAAACATGCAAACGCCTTACTACTAGTAACAAGAGGACGCTACTAGTAGCAAGAAGCACATAGACACCGATTGACTTCGCCTTGAGGCTTCGGGAAACTCGGCTGAAAGTGTCCTAGCAAAACAAATTGATCGTGTTTGTTTGCATTCTTTCTGGTGTGGTCTTCATTTGTGATTCGAACACCACTTTTGCGCCTCATACAGCGAACTCGAAAAGGCCAAGCTTTCCAAACCTGCATAGGTTAAACGCTGCTTTTGAAAACAATACGTTTTGAATCGTCTTGAGACAGAATGCAGGTTGTTTGCACTGCCAATGTTCATCCTTTGTACCACGTGACGTTAAGGTACCATTTCCGTATGGAAACCGCAGTAGAGAAACATAGACAGAGTGGAGCCAGGCAACGACCGAGTCAGCAAACCCCTCGGTCAAACAAGCATAAAACGTCATGTCAACCAACAAACGGAGTGTCTGAAAACTTCCAGTGTCAAGTCCGAAACTCTGAGTCAGACAACTGAAGACCGTGGGAAACAAGTTGGAAAACCATGTAGGGTGCGATCGATGTTCGGAAGATCAAGCAGGATGTGGATACGAAAGCCGGCAGAGAAGAGTCACACCACGAGTCGAGAACCACAGACCGCAACAGGAAACAAGACACACCAAGACTCCAAGGAAATAAAGGCCTCTGAGCTTTGACAACGGATCACCATACTGTCAAACTAGAAGAAGAGAATGACAACAGAAGTGAACAACAAATTCCTGCATTCAAAGCTCGGAAGCAGGAGAGATCTCGCAGAAAAAGTCTCCACCTCTCCTTTCTCTGTGAGATCCTCTCACCCCAAAAAGCTGACCAACCTTTTTCAACAGGAAATGGTCTGGAACTTTGGGTACGATGCAGTAACAGCCATGACATGTGTTCACGTTTGATTGATCGTGATCTTGCCACACCCCAACCTGCATCAGGAGCAAGCATGGGCCGTTCGCGCAAGACCTGTCGAAGTGCCATGCTTGCACAAAAAAAAAGGAAGCAAGCTGCCTGCAGCAGCCTGCATGCTGTTGCGCTTTTGTGTTTAATGCTGTGTGTGTGTGTGCGTGTCACCCTTGGAGTCAGAGGGAGCCTTTCGGTTTTTGTGTGTCTTTGTGCAGGGGGGCAGTGGGCACTTTGGAAAGCATTGCCCAACGAAAACCTTTCCATTGTTTCCTGTTATGACTTTGGGACGCCAAAGTCACTTACCTGCAGCGTTGTGAAGGGAGGGGCCCCCTCTCTCGCAGACCTCAAATAGACTTAAGAAGTGTTAGTGTTTCCCTTAGTATAGAAGAAAGGAATCCATCACCTCAGCAGGAATTGTTGTGCTGTGCTTGCTGTGCTGTGCTGTTTGCTTTCTCTCGAGGCAGGAGCCTTTTTTCATTTCATGTTTTAGACGCTGGATTTCGAACATCTAGGTCCAGGAGGAAAAACAGTTAGCTTCATTTAGCGTGTGTTTATAAATCTGTTGTGGGATTTGCATTAGCTTTATTCAGGGTATGATTACTAATCATATGTCGACAATATGTCCTTGCAAGGAAAGCCACAGTGCTTCACAGCAACCTTCTCTCCTCTCATTCTTGTACTTCATATCTGACTAGCTCAGTGCTTAGGCGTGTAGATTCAAATTCCAAGCTACCAGTAACAAGGGCATCGCTAGTTACTAGTAGCTTCTAGCTACTAATTAGTAGTAATGCCTTTGTTACTAGCTCAGTGCTTAGGCGCTTTGCTGATTCAAATTCCAAGCTGCCTTTGCCAAGAGCTCCAAAGCCTGCCCAAGCTCAGCGCAGGCACGTTGCAGCGCAAGCACCTGAACTCAGGAAGACTGTGTTGCATACTACTAGCGATGGCCTCCAAACTACCAGCATGTTGGAATGTGTTGTATACTTTGCAGGTACAGTCTCCACTTGGATTTGCGGCATCGTCAAAATTCCTTTTCGTTTCTTTCGCAAAAACCAAGCCATTGGAATCTCGTCACTTGAGGCAACACGGTAAAGGTATCACTTGAGACGTGGACGCGCTGCACCAGCAGAACGAGTACCTTGGGAGAGCACAGGCTCACCACAGGATTCATGAGACCGAGGCGCAAACAGAAGTCGATCGCTGGCCAGGTGTTTTCTCAAGGAACAAATGGTCTGCGGAATTTGCTGGAAAGGTGCAAAAATCAAGCCAACAGCTCCAAGCTGTAGAGATCGGGATGGCTCCAAGCCAGCTTTGGGCATGGGAGACCTTGAAAAGCTTCCTATCCGAGGAGACATCATGAGACCGAAAAAGGAGCATTATAAAGTTAGAGGCCATCAAATTAGGTTGGAGACCATTGCTAGTAGGCTACATCATGAGACCTGAGACTGAAGAAAAAGAAGCTAAAAGAGCTCTTGATGAAATCCAAGGCTCTTCGAGAGCTGAGCCGACCCCAGAAGCTTTGAGCCCAAAGCGAAGAGCGAAGCGAAGCGAAGACTGCATCGAGACATCAATCACACGACTCTCACGGGACACTCTTGGAATGACATTCACAGCACTTACACTGATGCATACGATTGCATACGTGTTATGACAAGACGTCAATACCATTGGATGATGCGCCCTGTGTGATGATCTTGTAAAGAAAGGTGCCAGCTGCATGCGAGCAATCGCCTTGAGACTTTGCAAGGCCTCTCGCAGATCTTTGCGGCAGAATCTCATGCCCAAAAGACAACGCCTCATCTTTGAGTCGCTGAGTTGACCAAAGCGACCGAAGCGAACAGCCAGTCGAGTGGTTTTCGAGTGGTGCTCTCAGCACCCGGCTTTGACTGGACATCAGCGAAGTGAAAAACCTGGTCCTGAGCCTGCAGGATGCTGGCGTGGCATCACACAACAGCTTAGGAAGCCTTCATCCAATCACGTCATTCAATCAGCAGCTGTGGTGTAAAGCTGTTCATCTCCATAAAATGAATGGCAAAAAAGGCACACAGAAGTGGGAAAGCCACTTGTACGTTCTATCCCCGCACTTTAGGAAGTGTTCGGGAAGCTCTCCTCCTGTGTGCTTGAGCTAAAGACCTGTCTACCTCCAAACGCAAGCTGCGCATGAATCTCCCGCAGCGTACACATGTCGGAGCAGATAGGCTGACATTGCCCTGCGAGGCCAAAAGTGTTTGCGCAGCAAACAGGCGTTTAGTATTGCAATTCTGAACTCTGACCTGAGAAAGCATAATCGATAACTCATTGTGTGTTTGAGGCCATACAGGCCAAAAAATGCAACCCACTAGAAATGGAAACACCGGGCTGGGTCCTCACAAGCAAAGCAAGCTGCAAGGACAAAGTGCCGTTTCCTGGCTCAAATCAAGCACAGCACATGCAATTGCGTCAGTTGAAAACTGGACACTCATGATCGAAAAAACATTATATATATATATATGTGATATAAATATATATAAAGATATATATGTGATATATATATATATGTATATATTGTGAAGCTCACAAGCTTACCAATCAGATGTCTCGCATGACGACCTTTTGATCGAACCTACCGAAAGGGTGGGTGGGTGGACCGAACATCGTCGACAAAGAGCGAGGCCGCTTGGACAAGAGGACAGGGTTTCCCCAAGGTTAGGATCATTCAACTCCAGGGTGAGATTAACATTGGTAGCGGAGCCTCCGCAAGGAGGCGTAGGCATTTTGGAGGGGTTCTCCAGTGAGTAATTAACCTAGGATAGGTTGCATTGGATCCCAGAATTTTGTTGCACGACATTTTACCTTTCCTTCGACCACTGAGCCATGGCCGGAACGGAAGGAAGTTCGGGAGAAGAAAAGGCCGGACACATCTGGAGTCTTCTTCCGGGTTTTGACCCGTCAATTGATGACCCGAGGGAGTATGCCGACAAGATTCGTTTCTTGCACTCCATCTGCCCCGTCAAGGACCGTTCTATGTTAGCTCCCAGACTGGCACTTCTGATGAAGGGCACCGCATGGGCTCAGGTCAAAGCCCTAGATGGTGAAAAGCTCTCGGACCCAAATGGAGGCATCAAGCTCTTGCTGAGTGCGGTGGCCGATTGGGAGGACTCTGCTGAACTCCAGACCTATGAAAAATTCGAGAGGGCTCTGTATAAGGTGACCCAGAAGACAGATGAGTCAGTGTTTTCATACGTGAACCGTATGAATGTTGCCTTTGCTGAGATCAAGAATGTGACCATTCAAGAGATCAAAGCATTCATCATGCTGCGTCAAAGTGGTCTGAATGGAGAAGACAAGAAGCGGGTACTTGCCATGTGTGCCGGGGAGCTCAAGGCCAAGAAAGTGGAAGACTCCATGAGACAACTTGCTCCTCGCATCCTGGTGGGTGCATCCGGTTCAGAGCCTAAGAAGAAGGTCTATCCAGTCAATTTCGTTGATGATGAAGAAGAGATGACCATTCCGACCTACTTCACGGAGGATGACAACCAGATTGACGACGAGATGGGTCTTCAGGTGTTGATGGAACAAGGCGATGAGGATGCCTTGATGATCACGGAGTTTGAAGACCAGTTGATCGAAGCTTGTCAGGACAACGTCGATTTGAGCATGTGCTTCTCAGCATACACCGAAGCCAGAGGCCGAGTTCGAGACAAGATCCGTGCCCGTGGTTTCTGGCCGCCGTCGAAGGGGAAAGGAAAGAACAAAGGATCCAAGAAGGGTCCGTGGAATGCAAAAGGTGGTTTCCGCAGACGCCAGTCACTGGCGGACCGCATAGCAAATTCCCATTGTCGTCTTTGCGGAGCTCGTGGGCATTGGCGACAGGAATGCCCAAACAAGGGCACGACTTCGAATGCCGCAGCGCCTTCAGCGGAGATCCACATGTCCACTTTGGTTGGGGAGAATGTGTCAGAGGTCGACTCGGAGGTTTTGGAAAGACTCCCGATCTCACTAGAACAGATGCTCCCTGAGTGGTGGCCCGTCGTCCAGGAGAAGGCGACGATTCAGGACGAGGTGAATGAGACGATGTTGTTGACCGACCCTGGCATGAGCTCGACCGGGAATTTTGAAGACAGCCAGGCCGGTGCTGAAAACAAACCCACAAAATTTTGTCGGTATTCTGAAACAAGAATCCGTGTTAATGAAGAATTCGTTTTTGCTGCTCTGTCCCTCCAAGAGTTGAAACAACAGCTGAGACGAGGCTTAGGGGGGCCTTACACTGGGGAAACGTGTCAGGCATGAAGACCCACATGAGCCGATGTTTTTTGTAGACCACGGTAGTGTAGCAATCCTGGACACAGGAGCCTCTAAGTCCGTGATCGGAAAAAAGAGACTAGAGCAGCTGCTAGTCAATTTGCCGAAGGAATATGCACGTCAGATCTCATGGCAGAAGTCTGATACCGTGTTTAGATTCGGAAACAATGGGACATTGAAGAGTCTAGGTGCGGTTTTTCTGCCTTTTGGTAAGCGTTGGCTAAAGCTTGAAGTGGTTGATGGCACTACTCCTTTTTTACTGTCAAATGCCTTTTGCAAAGCAGTGTCGGCGGATATTTGCACCTCGAAGCGTGAATTGTGCATGTTTCATGGACGTGTGAGTGTTCCATTGACGGTGAGTGAGAAAGGTTTGTTCTTGGTTGACTTGTTAGATGTCATGAAACATGCTGGCAGTGCGGAATTGCAGAATGAGACTTGGGAGGTCGTGACTCATATGCTAGAGGTTTCCAATGTAAACGGTCATGGAAACAACCTCACAACGACAAACACAGACACAAACCAGCCGAGCACAGAGATGACACGACAGACATGCCCAGCAGCCCTTCGAGTTTCAAGCAGTGCCGAGATTTCCCAAGCCAATCACCTACTCCATGGCGCCCAAGAAGGTGATCCCAACATATGCGGCGGTGTCGGGACTGGACAGTCCCCTGACCTTTCCAGAAGATGCAACGTTGACCAACATCTCATCGGTCAACGATGCCAAGATCGTCAAGCCGCCGGGTGTAACTACATTGAGGCAGTGGGGAGATCAGGTCTTGGGAGGCGGCAAGCATGCAGGCAAGACATTTGCCCAGGTCCTGGCCATCGATGCGAGCTACGTGGAGTTCATGAAACGAAAGGGAGATTGCACTTCAGCCTGGGCTCTCAGCTTTCACAACTATGTGTTGGCCACCGCTCGGATGGAGACGACCATGCCGGTGGAAAGCCAGCAGCCAGTGCTGACGCCTCAGATGATCAAGAAGACTCGAGAGGAGTGGGCACAGCAGGGAGCGACAGCCACAGACTGGGATGTGATCGACGACCTGAACAGTTACCACCGCTCGGAAGTTCCCGTGGGAATCCCATCCATGGCAAGTGGATCGGCACCGGGAAAACGAGGAGTGCCACTTCTCGAGGACCATCAGAAGATGCAGGTGGACCTTGCGAAGGAGAACCGAGATCGAGTGACCCAGATCCAGACGCAGATAGCCATTCTGCAACGCGAGTTGGCTTTCCTGATGCCAGCAGAGGAATCATGAATGATACAAGTGAGAAGTTGAGTTATGAGAACCAACCTTCAGTTGAACTTCATACCAGTATGGACACTCCAATCAACGACTTCTTTGCCAAGGAGTTAGCTAACCTGGTGGAAAAGATTGAGTTTCAGATGCAAGAGTTGGCAAACCACTCAGCTGACATCCGGACACGGCACTTAGCACCACGAACCCACAATTCGAAGGAGAGATTGGACATCCTGGAAATCTACTGTTATCCTAACTCCCACCTGACACAGATAGCAAGCCAGATGGGGTTGAAGACCCGTCGATTCACAATCCAGGATGGTGATCTCCGGACCCCTGAGGGTCAGAACAAGCTATGGCAGATCCTGGAAACACAGCAGCCCACACACATTTGGGCTTCACCTGACTGCAAGTTTTGGGGAAATTTCTCCAGACGCAACATGGGCAGAAGCAAACAACTGAGAACCTACATACTGGACGGGAGAAAACATGAAAGACCAAACTTGAGTTTGTGTGAAGAACTATTCCTGTACCAGGTAGAACATGGAAGACATTTTCATTTGGAACAGCCTGTCGGTTCAGAGATGGTAGTTCAACCCGAATTGGAACAGTTGAGATGGGGTACTCTGCCAACGGTTTTTGACATGTGTGAAGTGGGTAGGCTGAATTGGAAGGGTGAGTCGATGAGAAAGAGAACGATAGTTTTGACGACCTCCCGAAATTTGCACAGAGCGCTAGACTGTCGATACTGTCGCAAGATACATGAACATAAGCAGATTGCAGGACAGGTGAAACACCTTGGAAGGTGGATGCCACTTTCTGCCTTCGCTGCGAAGTACTCGTCAGACTTTGCGCGTGCAGTGGTTCGAGCTGTACAGATCGATCCTCAAGAACGTCCTTTAGTGTTTGATGAACTCTTAATTTCAGAAAAAGGACAAGAAGTAGATGAGGCATTGGTAGGGGAGGCATTGAAACGAAGACGACTCATCTCGAAGCAA